TATCTTGCAAACTCCCACAGTGGGCAGATCTGGTTAAAATATAACAATACCATCTAGTATAGAGGGTCTTTGGATGAGGGCAAATTATTGCACTGGCCAACTGTGACTGCTGGAGGGATTCACGTTTATAAACCATAGTGCCCCTGAGCATCAGACACTACCTTCAGAAGGGGAGGTGGCTATGACTAGATAGGTGCCCTGGCTTCGAGTTGGGTGCCTTTTGTGGCTTGTCCAGGACATTTGCCTGGATACAAAAATGAGTATGATGTTGCGGTCTGTCCCAGAAGAGCTCCTAGTGTGGTGAGGGAAGCAGATACTTAAACCAATACTGGACTTTATGCTGTATTATAATTAATATTAACATGGTGGGAGGGAGTGGCAACTGCTGTAGAGTGGGAGTAGGAAGTTCTTGATGAAGGCATGTAAGATGATAGGGTGGTTCTGTCAGGAGAAAAAAAACATCTGCAGTAGCAGAGAGGTTATGAAATATCTTGGTGTACTTAAGAGAGTATTGAGAAGAGGGCAGTGACTAGTATTTAAGGGGCTCCTGGAAGAGGGTCTATATATGATACCAGTGAGGTCAGAGAGTCAGAAGCAGAAATAGGAAAAAATCATCTAGAATTTAAGGGAGAGGACATCTATAAGAGTGACAGTCCATTTAAAATAGCTGGTACCGTGGGAGGTCAGATAAAGAAAGGACCAAATGGCTTCATTAAGAAGGGGCCACTGAACCATTTCATATGTTAGCAGGTAAATTCTGTCTCTAGAAAGAGACTAGAACAAGAAGCCTAACCTCAGAAGAGAAAGGTTCTCTGACACTCTAGATTGATCACAAATTTATTCTGAGGAATGTTTAGAACCAAAAAAAGCAAGAAACCTCATGTTTTCTAAATAAACAGGAAAGGAAGATAAAGCTTAATCTGTAGCAGTGTTTAAGTTTCTCATATTTGTCTGGCTAAAATTTCATTTATTTTTAAAGTCTTCAAAATACTTTCCCAAAATACATTATGTTTGTTTTGTCAAAGAGTCAGAAATATACAAGCTATTACTTTAGATAAAATAACAGGTATTGGTTGTAGGTACTAGGTCAAAAATAACTCTCCAGAACACTCTTGTTTAACCAAAATGAATTAGAGGCCCTCTAATCTCCTGGTGATTTAGCAACTATCTGTTTAGATTAGTTTGTGGGTTTAAGATTAAGATTTAATATTAATATTATTATAGCTATAATGTTAATTGGATAAGATGACACATGACTTCTCTATCCATACACACATGATTTTTTTCCTAGTCAGTAGCATTAGGATTTACTGTATATTTCAGTGAAGCTAAGATCCCATTGGTTGTAAATGGAACCATTATTTTATATAAACCCTGCCATAAATTACAACATTTGATTGTAAGAGGCATTCAGATTTCAGAGATACTAAAATGTGAAAAATACACATTTTATAATTAATGATATATGATTATTATTTATGAAGACATTAGAATATTTTGGTTTATATTTACAGATTAATTTAGGAACAACAAAAATTGCTCTACTAAATAACATCTAAACTGCAACTGTAGTCTTAATTAAAAACAGAACTATAAAAAGAATAACATGAGTAGTCATTAAATTTTAAAACTAGGAAGGTTCTTAGGGCTGTCAAAGATGTTAATACATGATTATTCATTTAATATATGCTTTGATACCTATCATAAGCCAGACATTGTTAGATGTTGTATATATAATGATGGATAAAACACTGGTCCCTGCCTTCATAGAGTTTATAGTTCTTGATGGGGGGTCGGGAAATAGGTTTGCAAATTGCAATGAGTACTTTAAAGGAAAAGTACAGTGCTGTCAAAGAATGGAACAAGGTGGGGGCGGTGCCTGGGTGGCCTAGTCAGTTGAGCATCCAGCTTCGGCTTAGGTCATGATCTCCTGATTGGTGAGTTTGAGCCCCACATCGGGCTTTCTGCTGTCAGCACAGACCCAGCTTCAGATCTTCTGTCCCCCTCTCTTTTTGCCCTTTCCCCACTCACATTCTCTTGTCTCAAAGTTAAATAAACATTAAGGGGCAGCCGGGGTGGCTCAGTGGGTTGAGTGTCCAACTTTGGCTCAGGTCATGATCTCGGATTCATGGGTTCAAGCCCTGCATCAGCCTTTGTGCTAACGGCTCTGCAAAAGTCTGTCTGTGCAAAAGTCTTGAGCAGGAAAGATGTTGGAATTCTTTAGACAGTGAAAGAAACACAAGGGTCGGGTAGAGGTCTAGGTGATTTTCAGTTGAGATAAGACCACATGGTGCATAGCCACAGTGGACCTTTTAAACATTTTAGTCTAAGCCCAGGGGCAAACCACTGGAGGGTTTTAATAGAGGAAGTGACCCTGGCTGCTCTGTGAAACCTGGACTGGAGTAAGATTCAAAGTGAAGAAGCCCCCTTAGGAGTCTGTTAGTACAGACCAGCTAAGATGGCAACTTGACCTGAGGGATTGTGAATGGAAGATACATTTTCTTGAAGATAATTTGCCAGTATTATCAGGAATCTTAAATTTGTGTACGGTCTGACCCAGCACTTCCATTTCACTCCCTTGTTCTGAAGAAACAGATGTATGTAAAAGTTGAACTACTAGTTTGCTCATTCCCTATTATTTATTGAGAAATTGGTTTAATATAGATGTGTTTGGGTAGTTTGTTAAGCTGTCCTATTTCAGCTTAGAATAACATCTCAAGGGTCCGCAGTCTGAGTCTCCATGGCTTAGGCTCTGGGCTGATGGCTCAGAGCCTGGCCTTACCATTCTGTGTCTCCTCCTCTCTCTGCCCCTCTCCCCTGCCTGTTCTGCCCCTCTGTCCCAAAAAAAAAAAACGTTGGGAAAAAAAAAAAACAGCAGTGTTAAAAAAAAAAAAAAGTAAATAATTACAGTATTTTCAAACAAGCAAAAAGGAAAGAGGCAACTCATGTCAACTTTAAGGAGGCCACATCTTCCCGGAAGAGGTGTTTAGACAGGGAGAGTCTTCTGGTGGGTTCCTGGGAGAGAGACACTGAAAATACAGAATGGAGAAGAGATACTCCTAAAACAAATGTGGGGGAGGAGAGATATTTAGGACCAAAGGGAAGATAAGCTCTCTTGTCTGGGAGTGCAGGAGCTTCTGGTGTAAAATGTACTGCAGTTCTGCCATGTGACTTATTTTTTGAGAACTAGCCTGGGAACCTAGCCACGCCTTGCAACGTTGTTACTGGAGGGGAAAGTGTTTGCTTTTCAAACTAGAGAATTGTAAGTGAATTTTTGGTATGCAGTCAGCCCATAAATTCAGTTGCCTGTAAATCTGAGCTTCCCTGGGTAAGTACTAACTGAACAGGATGAAATTTTGTGAAAACGTTTCTCTATCCCTGCCTTTTCCTTCCCTTAGCCCTCCCCACCCCCTACTCTCTCACTCTCCTCTCCTTTTCTTCTTTCTTGTTCCTTCCCTTTCTTTCCTCTCTTCCTTTCCCTCTCCTCCCTCCTTCTCTAGTCTTCTCTTATATACCCCAAAAGTTATATTTTATACTATAATCAGAGCAGGAAAAACAGCCAGGCACTTCTAAGTAAATAAAAGAATCTCCTTCCTTTCCTTCCTTCCTTCGCCTTTTTTCTTCTCAGGTAGCCTCTTTTTTTTTTTTTTGACAGCTTTTTTATACCATGTGATGGAAATACTCTACTACATGCTCTTAATGCCGATTTGCAAGTTTTCAAACGTTTTGTACTCTTTGCATTCCTAAAACTCTCTAGACCAATCTCTGCACAGGGATGTTTAACTTGTTGATTTTCACTCCCCTCCAGAATTGATGCTTTAGGAAAACCAGTTAACCATTTACTTTCTAGTGCATATTTAGTTTTAAGTTTTGGTGGTTCTCTGAAGATACTGGTGCTCTTTGGTTGTAATTATCTGGAAAATTCCTAGAGGAGTTTGCATTTCACTTTTTAGTAAGCTTGCAGTTATCATCTCTGGTATTTCCTTGAGTATTTCCTTTTCCTATCTATGTAGAAAAATCAGTTCTGTAGCTTTATAGAATTTCCAAAATAGTTATTGAACTTAGCTTATTAGTATTTTTTAAATTGTTACTTCTCCCAGAGTGCAAATGCTTTAACTGTTTCCTTATGAATCAGGTTTTAAAATCCATGCATATGTATATTGTATCTGTTGTGTATATCTGCATGTGGATATAAGTGTATTTGAAATTAGTGGATGCTTTACCTACTAAAGGCTAAATAATTTTAGGAGGCTTTTAGGATTAATTTTCAAAAATTACTAGCTTACAGATTATTTTATTCTGATAAATCCACAGTATATTATGGAGTAAAGGTCACATGTTTCTGCCAATTTTTACATTTTATATATGGAGTGTCCCCAATACTTTGATGTGGAAATAATGTTACAAGAATACAAATCTAATCATTTAGGCTTTGAACAAATATTGTGAGATCATAGAAGATGTGGTTAGGTTTCACTTAGCTTATTAAATATTGATTTAGCTTTTTTCGGAAAATGAGAATATCCACCAGATTCTATCTATATTTACTTAAATTATTGGAAATCCTTAAGTTATTGGAAATCCTAGAGTAGTAAAATGCTCTTCTAAATATTTGTTAAATACTTCAAGTATGTGAGAGTGGTATAAATGGAAGCAGTGCAGTCTTCATGAATGTGTTTCTTAATGCAGTACTTAATGTCTTGGGATCCATTTTGTTAACTACCTGTAAACAAAGGTCTGTGTTAGTAGTATTAGTAAGCCTGCACCTTCTAAATAGAACTTTTCTTTTTAAAGGCATTATTACACTCACATTACCATACAACATTGAAAAACAGAGTATATACGATTCACAGTGACACTTTCTTTCATACTTGGCTTAAATCGTTTGAGGTTTTAGGAGTTACCTTTTTAGTTACATGTCCACTGAAAATATAAAATACTATTTATTCTTGGAAATTTTTTATATACTAATCTCCTTCTTATTGCTCCCTCCATTTTAGTCGCGAGATGGAGAATAAAGAAACTCTCAAGGGGTTGCATAAGATGGACGATCGCCCAGAAGAACGAATGATCAGGGAGAAACTGAAGGCAACCTGTATGCCAGCCTGGAAACACGAGTGGCTGGAGAGAAGAAATAGGAGGGGCCCTGTGGTAAGTGTCTGTTTACCTGCCATAAGGAAGAAAGCATAGGAAGAGATGGGAAATTAAGCATAAGTAGATCCTCTTGTAAGCTTTTTTTTTCTTCTTGATTTTAAGTGCAGTTATTTGATTTGCTTACCATTCTAGCCACTTGGAATAAAACATAGCTAAAACTATGCTCATTAAGCACCTTAAATTGTTCTAGAAACTGAACTGGTTGGATTGGGTAGCTAATGCTTAAAGCAACACTGCCCCCTACTGTCAGTGTCTAAAATCCTTTTGGTAGAGATTTATACTGTATTTTAAGAAAGAAAAGCAATTTTCTAATGTTCTCTCTCTAAGATAGGATCCAAAGATCTGAGTTCCAGAAATCATCCAGGAAAGCAAAAACTGAATAGCCTCATAGAGTTTGAGGTAAATTTAAAAGATGCCCAGGGTTTGAGGAAAGAAACCTAGATTACTAGGATTAGGAGAGAACGTCATACCCCATCTTTTGCCGTGGTTATTCTCTTTTAAGGTATACAAATACTATGAAATGTGCTTCTCATTCTTACAAAGGAGGTAGACCTCAGTTGTTAAGTGATCCCGTATCAGCTTGTATCGGCAAGTTTTTTGTCCTTTATAAACAAAGATAAGTTAAGATTGATTAGGTTTGGGGTAGGCAAAGGGATGGTGGACATAATCATAAAAGTTATTGGGCAAGCTACTCACCTGACATTTGAAACCCTTGACCTTTACCCTTGCCAAATGACCAGCTAGCTCTCCATTCATCCCACTTGCCTATTTAAGTTCAGATTGAAATTAATTAAATGTAAATAAAGTAAAAATTTAGTTCCTCAGCCACATAGCCATATTTCAAGTGCTTGATAGCCACATAGACATCCCTCATCATTGTGTTGTCTTGCATGTTCTACCTACTGGTGTTTACCCATGGAGCCAATATAGAATATATTTAATTGTTCCTTTATCTACCAGCTTTTTAAGCTGTGTTACTCATGAGTCCTTTCCTTTCCAGCTGAGCTTCCACATTTCTTCCATTTGTTTTTCATAGGAAGTAGTATGGCGAGAACCCCTCACTGTTTTAGTAATCATGTCAGAGGATAAAGATGAAGAAATCAGGAATTTATCTTAGAAAAGCGAAAGTTCTATTGAAATAACTTATAGAAGGGAGTAAATTTCTACCCAGTTACTACAAAGAACTTTTGAGTAGGTAAAGCCATTTGAATGTGTTGCTTTCTGGAGCTCCTTGTGCTAGTGGAGAGTCTAAATCTTTTGAGAATACCATAAAGCAGAAATTACAACTTTTTAAAAAGAAGCCAATAAAGCCAATCCTTTATTACATATAAACTAAGGACATTCCATTTTCTAAGACGAAATTTTGGTTTTTCTCACTGTCCCCTTTCTGGCAAATCCTTAAATACAAGACAGAGCTAAAGAGGGAAGAGATGTGTGGAGTAAGACATGTGACACGTAGTCCTTAGCTCAATTATACTACCCTGTATGTTACAGTTTACAGATTTCATATTACCCTTAAGAAGTTTATAGTCTACTTGGGAAATCTGATTGTGTTTATTGTGACTTATATAAATTACATCAGATCCTTCTTGAAATATAAGTGAGGTATAAATATCTCCAGTAGTGAAAATGCAACTTATAAATAAAAATAAAGGCATGAAATACCACAGAACAGTTTGTGAGTATACACCAGATGTGTGGAGTGGGCAGAAAGCAATGATGACTTAGAAGAAAAATGTCAGGCTGACAGAGTTAAGGGCACTTTTGTTAAAGGTAGGATTTTAACCGAGCCTTAAAAGATGGGTGTTTTCACCAGGTGAAGGTATGCTACCTGGTATGCTGCAGGCTAGAGATGTGGATTAGAAGGGAGAGTGGGAGTGAGAGTGCAGGACAAGGCCAGGTTAGGCGTGTGTGGTAGGCACAGCAGCTGGCTAGTAGAACAGTAGAAGAGTAGTGGAAGGAAGGTGGGGATGGTTGGCTAAGGCTACAGTGTATGGCCTTTTGGTCATAGCTAGATTAGGTCTGTTGAGAAATAGCAGGTTTTATAGCCTGCATTTGTGCTTGAGAGATTGATCTTTTAAATATCTAGCTTCTTTTGGTGATTCTGAAATATATGTCTAAACTATTGTAACATAACATTGCAAAAAAAAAAAAAAGGCAAAATGGCTTTGTATCGATTAGACTATTTGGGCACATAAATTACTCCCATTATTGTTTTCAAGATCCTGCATTTTCTCAATAGAAATGAAAAAACATCTACTTTAATCTAGTTGAATAAGTTAACTGTAGAAGGTATAAGTGCTTATTTTTCACATTTGTTTACTAACCTGTGGTTGTTGATTTTTAATGTTAAGTGATTTAGGGCACATAATAACAGATAACGCTAAATTTCTAAAATTACATAATAACATTTTAAGTAATGATAAAGCCTACGTTAATGAAATCTGTGGGTAAAAAGTCTTACATTTATATCATTTGAAGTAAGACTAAACAAAAGTTGATATGTTGTCTGTTATATTTGTATAATATTGTGTGATGAAAAACGAGTTCATCTCTTTGTTGTGTTCAAATTTACTTATTTTTTATATTTTTAAGTAATGAGAATATTGGAATTTTAATTTAGGTGGTAAAACCAATCCCTATTAAAGGAGACGGTTCTGAAACTCACAGCTTGGCAGCTGAGTCTCCAGGAGAAAGCCAGGCAAGCACCGCTTCACCAGCTCCCAAGGGCCGCCGCAGTCCTTCTCCCGGCAGCTCCCCGGCGGGCCGCACAGTGAAATCTGAATCTCCAGGAGTAAGGAGAAAGAGAGTCTCCCCCGTACCTGTAAGTTAATGTTTCAACAAGCATGTTAAGTTTCTACAATTTTTAGATTCATCTGTAACACAGAAAATATTGCTAGACATCTGATAAAGCAGCACTTCTCAAAGTGTGGTCCACAAGCCCTACGTTGGGGGAAGAGGGAAGGTCCTGGGACCTTTTCTGTGGATCCGTTAATTCAAAGCAAATTCGGTAATAAAACTGAGATGTTATTTGCCCCTTTCACTGCATTAACATTTAAATTGGTGGGTAAAGCTGCTGGTGCATTCACCTGAATTAAAACTGTGACAATAGAAAATGTATTCTTCACTTGGGTATTTGGCATTTTCTTTAAGACTAGTTAAGTGAAGGAAGGAACTTGAAGGAATGCAACGGAAATGTTTTTTCACCAGTGGTAAAATTTGAGATTTCAAGCAAAAATTAGAATTTTGGAAAACTATCTACCACTGTCAGCTTGACAGTTTCCCAATCCTTAAAAGAATTTTCTAATGAGATCAGTGATTTTATCAACTGTGATTTTTTTTTTCCATATATATCGCACAGTGAAATGTGTGAACATTTGAGAGATCTGCATAACTTAGTGAACCAGTATTTTCCCGATGACCAGTGCATGATGAAACAAAACCATCCTTAGGTAAATGATCCATTCAAATTGTGTGAGATATACCATCTGGATTTTAATGTGTAACAGTAGGAAAAGTTTGTTGGTGTGGTTTCAGATTCCATATCAGTCTCCTTTAAGAAACCACTTCTTTGGAGTAGTATCAAAAAAGAGTGTTCATAATTATTGTCTTTTACAATACCTTTCCCAGCTACATATATTTGTAAAGCCACATTTTCTTCATGTACTTTAACCAGAACATAGTATCACAGCAGACTGAATGCAGAAGCATCAATGAGAATCCAGCTGTCTTCTATTTTAAATCAGACATCAGAGATTTACAAAATGATAGGTGCTAACTTCCAGAGAGAAAATGAAAGAATGAGACCTCTAGTGGCAAAATGCAAGTTAAAATTGACTTTCTAAACTTGAAGAGCAAATGAGTGAATGGTAGAATGATTAAGGTCATGCCTACCAAGGGGAGATTTGCATATAAATCCTTCCAGAAGTAAATTTTAAGTGAATCTTTTCACATTAAAGCCCAAGCTACCTACCAGTATTTATTGGCTTTATGTTGACACACCTTTAAATGAGCTATTAAAAAAAAAACAAAACTTAAAATAAGAACAATCATGAATCTGCAAATTAGGTGGAGCTCGGCAAGAGTGACTTCTGTCTGTTCCTCATGGCATCTGTGGAAGTTAGAATATCCAAAATGCTTCCTTACTCCCATATCTGGTGTTTCAGCTGGGATGCTAGAACAGTTGGGGGCTGCTGACATCTCTTTCGTTCTCACAGCACAACACCAAGTGTTGCAAGGTAAGAGAGAACATGAAACATATTTTCTCTCACAGTCCTAAGAGGGAATCCACCCTGCTGACATCTGCTCTTGGACTTCTAACCTCTGAAACTGTGAAACAAATTTCTGTTAAGCCAAAAAAAAAAGTGTATCAGGAGGGCAAGTCCAGTGTGGAAGTTCTTATAAAGCTGCCTTATTTCCTAATGCCTTATTGCCCAAAAGTAGTTACATGCCAGTTGCAAACCCAGAATCAGTGTGGTGGGGGACTCCACAAGGGTGCAAGTACTGGGCAGTGTGGTTCATAGGAGCCATCAAAGTAAAAGTCTACCACAAGTACATACAAATTACATTTTCCTTGCCCTCTCCCACTTTAGGATAGATGTCAAAGTTACCCCTCATTTAACAGCAACTTAGCATTTCATTATCTGGATAAATCATAGTTTAATGAACTTCATACTAATGGACATTTATATTCCTTCTTCACTTTCATGACTAAGAAAAAGTATGCAAACATACTTTTTAGTTATACATCATTTTGCACATCTGTGAGCAAATCCATAGTATGAATACTTAGGTCACATAACATGTATACGTGTACTTGTGTTTTTTTTTAATAACTGCCTATTAAAAAATAATGGCTGTATTGAGATATAATTCCTATACAGTACAGTTTACCTGTTTAAGTTATATAGTTCCTTGGTTTTGGTCTACTCAGAGTTATAGCCATCACAGCAGTCAACTTTAAAACATTTTCATCACCCCAGAAACCCCAGACCAAAGAGCAGTCTATCCTCAGCCCTAGGCAACCATTAATGTACTTTCTGACTCTATATATAATTTGCCTTTTCTGGTCATTACATATACAGTAAATGGAATCATGCAGTATATGTGGTCTTTTGTGACTGGCTTCTTTCACACAGCATCATATAAGTTGTATCCATACTCTCTTTGTTTTAGTTTTGTTTTCCCCCACAAACTGTGTTTACTTATCAGTGTGTGCATTGGGCACCTGGGTGGCTCAGTCAGTTAAGCATCCGACTTCAGCTCAGGCCATGATCTCACTATTCATGAGTTCAGGCCCCACATTGGTCTCTCTGCTGTCAGCAGCATGGAGCCTGCTTCAGATCCTCTATTCCCCACTCACTCTTGCCCTCCCCTGCTACCACTCTCAAAAATAAATAAACATTAAAATTTTTTTTTTAAATTATCAGTGTGTGAATTTTTGCCATGTGCATTCATATTTTAACACAAAGTATTAGTTGTGCCATATCATTCTTCCTCTTTTTTGTTGTTTAACATTCAAAACTAATTTCTGATACACCCACTTCTCTTTATGTTTAAAAGTACTCCATTTTTTTTTAAGTTTATTTATTTTGAGAAAGAGCAAGAAAGAGCTGGGAAAGGGCGGAGAGAGAAGGAAAGAGAGAGAACCCCAAGCAGGCTCCACACTGTCACTGTGGTTACAGGGCTCAAATTCACGAACTACAAGATGATGACCTGAGCTGAAATGAAGAGTCAGACGCTTAACTGAGCCACCAGGCACCCCAGAAGTACTATACTTTTAAGTTATAGAAGATAACATTCTTTTGTGTGGATATACACATTTGGCTTAACCATTCATCAGTTGATGGACATTTGGGTTATTTCCACTCTTTGGTTATTATATATAATGCTGTTGTGAACATGTGTATATGAATCTTTGGGTGGACATAACTTTTCACTTCTCTTGGGTTTATACCTAGAAGTGGAATTGCCGGGTCATGTTTTCCATAGGAGCTGTACCATTTTATTTCCCTACCAGCACGGTTCTAATGCTTCGTGTTCTTACCAACATTTATTATCTTTAACGATTAAATTAGGTGTCAAAAAGAATTAGAATTCCCACTGACCACTGATGGAAAGACCAAGTTCTAGGGGAATCAGTGAGGTAGAATGAGAGTGGTATATGTCACCCTCACCACAGGAGAAGTTTTATCAGCCTTTGGTGAGATGTCTTAATCTGGGGAAAGTCACTTGCCATTAGTTCTCTACAGACTGCACCATGGGAGGAATTGCATGGCAGCATTTATATGCTCTTGCAAAAGAGCATTTGGTAACACCTTAAGTGGAAGTGAGGAAACTGGATATTTAATTTTTATCACTAGAAACAAGTCATTGTGCTTGCTTCTAAGTGAATTTTTATGCTTTCCATCTTGGTTTACATAATACTCTTCAAAGAACTAAAATATTTACAATTTGTAAAATTATCACATGGTTGTCTCACTTGGCCAGATATTTATCATTATTTATAGGGATGACTGTGATTTTAGAAGTTTCTTTGTGATGAGTATGTCAAATAAAAGCATTTGCAATATGCATTTTGTCCCATTATATTTGGGGGCATTTTTTCAGAATATAAAATGCCACATGGCCATCTGATACGACCTTTTTTTTAAGGTAAGTGTTTCTTATCAAGAAGTAAGCAATTTACCTAATACAAAAACAATGTTGTGAAGTTTCAGAGCGGGAGAATCACACCACCTAGAAGAGCCCCTTCCCCGGATGGCTTCTCACCATACAGCCCTGAGGAGACAAACCGCCGTGTAAACAAAGTCATGCGGGCCAGGCTGTACTTACTGCAACAAATAGGACCCAACTCTTTCCTGATTGGAGGAGACAGCCCAGACAATAAATACCGGGTGTTTATTGGGCCTCAGGTAGGATCTTTCACCATTCTACAGTTTATTAGTATTTGTTCTTCTTAAGTTTAGATGACTTATTTCTCTTCAGTAAACTAAAGTGAGTTTAAAAAATATTTTGGGCTGATAAACATTTTTATTTAATGTATTTGTGAAGGTTTCTACTTGAGAATACAGATTTGATCTATTTAATAAATTAACCAAAAATAAGAGATTAGTTCATACATAGATTTTTCTTGCATATCCTTATATATCTTACATAAGAATAATGAAGCAAATAGAAACTTTGTTAAACTTGGAAATATAAAAAAAAGTGATCATCTTAGGAATTCTAATAGAGCTAGAGATTTGTTAACCCATAAATTCTCTTTTAACTCTCTAGAACTGCAGCTGTGGACGTGGAACATTTTGTATCCATCTGTTATTTGTTATGCTCCGGGTGTTTCAACTAGAACCTTCAGACCCAATGTTATGGAGAAAAACTTTAAAGAATTTTGAGGTAATTTTTAATAAGTACCTTAGAGTAAAATTGTTAATAAATTTTTACGGCTCATTCCTGACACTTCTCCATGAGGAGTCATTTTGACACAGAGTTATAAAGACACAGAAGAATTATTTGAGCCTTATCTCTTATAATCTATTGACTTTTTCCTCCAGACTGAAAAGAATGTGAACACTGACCTGCTATTATTTTGAAGCTCTTAAATTGGCTTTGTGAAAAACTTATGAAATAAAAGACAAATAATTCAACCTCTATAGAATTCTTTATATGTTATTATGGCATGAATATCATTGTTACTGTTTTTTTTTCAATGTTAGGTTGAAAGTTTGTTCCAGAAATATCACAGTAGGCGTAGCTCAAGGATCAAAGCTCCATCTCGTAACACCATCCAGAAGTTTGTTTCACGCATGTCAAATTCTCATACATTGTCATCATCTAGTACTTCTACATCTAGTTCAGAAAACAGGTTAGTACTATTTAAGGAATTAAAAGCATTAATCTAGTGTTACTTTTTAATTTTAGAGGTAATTTTTTATACCTACTTGTTAAGCTGCTCTAAAGTAATTGACCTATTGAACCTTGGCTTTGAAGTTAAAATCAAGGGTAAACAACATAGATCATCTGAGCATGTGTGTGTATACACACATATATATGCATATATTTATGTGGACTTCTCGTCCTGAAAAACCACACTGTTGAAAAATGGCACCTTAAATATCAGAATATAGTAGAGTCATTTCACAAGAAAAATCAAGTGGCAAGTATAAATATAAGTGGCTACTGTTTATCAGTCATTACTTTGTGCCAAGCATCTAATACGTTGTCTTATTCTGTTCATAGGCCAACCTCATTAGGTAGGGTTTATCACTCTTTTGCAGATAATGAAGGTGCAGCAGTGTGTAAAAAATATGTCTATAATTTTATTAACAAATTATATACAAGGCAAATGGTTTTCCAAAATCACTTTGAAATGCAGGATCTCTAAATTGTATGACATCACTACTTCTTTCATAGATCTTTTCAGGGAATCCTCATTACAGGCTGTTTTACTTGTGAGAGCCCAAGGATACTCTTGGAAACAGACTAATCAATTGTAATTAAGAGATGCAGTAGCCATTAATCACAATTATTATTTAAAATCTACGGCACTTCTCAAACTTTTTCATTGCCTAGCTGATAAGAATGAACATACAATACTGAAGGATATAGCCTAAAATGACCAGTGTGAAAAATTTTTCAAGTCTCTAGTATTATAAAAATTATTGTCAGTTATCTTTCTTTTCCAAGTTCCTTATTGGGTTTAATGTAAAAATGAGTTTTTTAAATCACTCCAGAAAAGAGTGCTGCTTTTCTTAAAAGGGCACCTCCTATGTGTTCCTGAGGCACCTGTTTGAGAAGCACGGGTCTAAGTGATTAAATCCCATCTTCATCCATCAGTTTTTTATGTATTGTAAACTACTTCAAAATTCACAAATAGAAAGTAATCAGATCAAGGGATTTGTGAAAAATGGAGAGACCAGTTTTTTCACCTATAGGAAAAGTAAATGTTTGAATTTCCTTATTTTTGGTTAAATGAATTTGTTTTAGAATCATAGAGTTTTACAAGCTTTTTGGGAATTAGAGATTTCTAGTTTATGTGGTTCCATGATAAGTGAAGCCAAAAGAGGTCATGCCACTCAGGTGAGCAAAGGCAGAACCAGAACCTCAGCATCTTGACTTTTAGTTCAGAACTCTTTCTCTTACTACTTATCTCTTCTAAATAGATGAAAAGAATGAATTTTATTTCTCAAGCTTCCTGACCCAAACTTATTCTGGACCCTTTCTCCTTTTGGTTGACATTCCTGTAGCTTTTTATTTTGGAAAAAATAAAAAATGTTTAAAACCAGGTAGCCAAAGTTAAGTTAGAAAGTTTCTCTCTAAAATAAACAAAGGTACCTTCCAAATATGGGCTGGCTATACTATGGATATTAATTCATTTGGATTAATGTATACATGGAGAGGAACCACAGAAGCTATAATCTAGATTTTACTGAGATTATACTGTGTTGCTAAGTAGGTTATGTTTCACGTAATCACAAATTTTTATATCTAAAGACTAAAATAAAAAGAAACTTATCTGGAAACCTGATTGCATTGTATTAATTTTAAATTATATAAGAAAGAGTAAAAAAACAATTAGGACAATTGGAATATACTTTAAAAACTTTACCAAAAAAATTAAAGCTGCAAACAGGAACCTAAGGTCCCAGTACATAAGTGGGCAAAGGGCATGAAGACAGTATTGACACAAGAATTCCATAGGGCGCCTGGGTGGCTCAGTTGGTTAAGCGTCCTGACTCTTGATTTCAGCTCAGTTCATGATCTCATAGTTCTTGAGGTCAGGCCCCATGTTGGGATCTGCACTGACAGTGTGGAGCATGCTTGGGATTCTCTCTCTTTTTTCAAAATAAGTAAATAAACTTAAAAAAAAAATTGAAACAAACATGAAAATGGTTTAGTTAACCTGATAACTAAGAAAATGGTCATTAAAAAAAAAAGGTATCAAATTTATTTAGAGACTTTGTAATGAAGACCATTCAGTTCTTGTGTAAGGATTTGCATCACTGTATGTCAAGTGCTATATAGCCTTTCTGGAAAAAAAAAAAAAAAAATGTGATTTTTTTAAATGTTTGTATTTGTTGATCCGGTAAATGTACCTTTTTTTAAGAAAAAAAGTTTAATCTGAGAAATGCACAAGATTTATATATATGACTGTCACAGTATTGTGAAAAATTGAGAATAGCTTAAACATGGAGCAAGGGAGTGGTTAAAGTATACCCATATTAGGAATAGTTCATGCAGCCGTTAAAATTATGCTTCTGAAGAATACTGAATGGCATGAAACAAAATCTAGGTTGTAATGCTGTATGTCATGCATGAACCCAATTTTTATATATATAAAGGGTATTATGGGTACATACATACATGACCAGAAAGTTTAATGGTTATCAATAAGTGGCATTATTACACTTTTTTATACTTTAAATACTTTGGGCTTTAAGGTTCACTGGGTCTCTGTCACAACTACTCATCTCTGCCCTTGTAGCTGAAAAACCCATAGAAGATATGTGAATGAATGGGGATGGCTGTGTTCAAAAAAAAACTTTGTTTACAAAAGCTGGCACAGGCTAATTTGATCCCCTTGTAGTATGCTAATATCTGCTCTCTACTCACATGACTTGACTCCTGAAAAAACTGCTAAAGAAAAGAAAATCAGAAATGTAGAAGTGGGCACAAAGAGGTTTCTACTTATTTCTTAAAATGTGAAAATACGGAAACAACTTTTGTCCAACAATAAATAAATGCTTATGTAGTTAGATCTATCTACTCAGTGGAAAATGATGCCACCATTAAATTTTTACTATGTATATGAAGAGTTTAGTAACAAGTAGAATATGAAATTGTACATCTCTATAGATAAATGATCTAAATAATGTTTACAAAATATATACTGTAAAAAGATGAGCAGAAAAATTCCAGGATGGAATTTTTTTTTAAGTCAGAAAAGCATTTCAGTAGTAAGTTATACTTGCAGTGGGACTGAATTGTGGAATTTTTTTTTTTCTAAATCTTTTGAGTAAGCTAATTTTGGTGTAATTTGAAAAGTTACTTGAGCTGGGATCATCTTTGCCATTAATATTTTTATTATAGATTGTTGTATAAATAATTTCTCCAGTATTTGTTAATTTTTGTCATTGCTGCATGCATATTTTGACAGCATTTCCCCACTCCATGTAGCTCCATAATTATGAAAAGAGATAAAGAAAAGGGGCAGATAGTCAGGAGGGAGAGAGACTAGTAAGTATGCCTTCACCTGAGGAATCATGCATCCTGACTTTGCTAGACCTGTTTAGCTTTCAGGAACGTTTTTTAGGAAACTGTTACTTTACTATCACTCATTCAGACCAGTTTTTCAGGAACAGCAGAATCTGGGGGCTATATGGGTCTCTAAGATTATAGTTTATATACTGAATTGTACTCATAGCAAGGAAAGCTTAACTCAAAATCTTATTTAAAGTTACTCTACTAATTAATAGGAAAAATAAATTTCTCAAATAGTTGTATGTAAGATTTCCTAACAAGAATTTCTATTTTTTCATATTGCAAAGAATCCAAAACTGTTTTTAGCTATGCCATTAATTCTGTATTATATTCTTTTCTGTTTAATGCTTTCATTTCCCCTTCCTTACAGTATCAAAGATGAGGAGGAACAGATGTGTCCTATTTGCTTGTTGGGCATGCTTGATGAAGAAAGTCTTACTGTGTGTGAAGACGGCTGCAGGAACAAGCTGCATCACCACTGCATGTCAATCTGTATGTGGCTCTTTCCTCCCCCTGCTCACTCAGAATAGTTGCTCTATGATCCAACTATATTATTTAGGATTTTAACATGACTTTTGTGGAGACTAGGGAGAGAAGAAAACAAGTATATCTAGGCCCTTAGGTAAAGTTTTCAATGAATTGGAGTTTAGGATCCTTTAAGAGATGAGCTGTGTGAGCAAAGAAATGTAACATAGTGTGATACATGTAGTAATGGAAGGAGTGCACAGAATTAGAAACATGATTCTGGTCTTGAAGTGTACATGGAGGTGAAGAGGTAGAAGACCTGGGCAGGCATGACAGGGTAACATCAAAGCAGGTTTGAAATAACATTATCAGGTAATCAGTGGGCAGAATGTTTTGAAAAATAGTTAGCAAAATACATGTTGTAACTAAAAAAACAGCATTTGCAAGAGGTATGTGCATCAGAATAAAATTTAACCTACTGTGTTTGCCTGCTTCTAGGTAAATAGATCAGGTTGTTTTTTGAGGTTCTTTCAATATAAACCTATACTAGCCACTAGCAACAATTATTATATATAACTACTTAATGTTAAGCATTTATATTTTTGTAAAGTTCTTCCCTTTAATTTTTCAGGGGCAGAAGAATGTAGAAGAAATAGAGAACCTTTAATATGTCCCCTTTGTAGGTCTAAATGGAGATCTCACGATTTCTACAGGTAACAGTTTTGAATTAATGATTTGGACGTATCTAATAAAAAGTTAAAATGTTCCCTAAATGTTATTTAAATCTGTTAATTATTTTTAACAAGATTTTGTTAATTTTCAATTAGCCATGAGTTGTCAAGCCCTGTGGATTCCCCTTCTTCCCTGCGAGCTGCACAGCAGCAAACCATACAGCAGCAGCCTTTGGCTGGATCACAACGAAGGAGTCAGGAGAGCAATTTTAACCTTACTCATTATGGAACTCAGCAGATTCCTCCTGCTTACAAAGATTTAGCTGAGCCATGGATTCAGGTAAATGGTTCTTGTTCTTCATTTCTCAAATAAACCTTTATAGACCACTTAATGTAGTTGTCTCCCAGTTGTTGATAGTTTAAGAAAATACTTTTACTTTGCCTCCATCATGACTCTTACTCGATGGAAATTTCTACCTTTGGTGTTAATACTATGCTGCTTATTATAAAGCTTAAATTTCAAAAATTTTTGGAGCCTCACCGCCCATCTCTAGAACCATCAGACATTAAGGATTATCCAAGGATAGACACTAGACCCCTTCAGTGCTAACTTATTCAAATGTTTAATCCCATTCCTACTATTTCTCATTTCTGTATCTTCATGGCATATATATAATAGCTGCTTAATAATTGCTGAGTGGTTGAAAAAAAATGTATGATATTTGCCTTATATTAGTCATTTTTATTTGTAAGGGCAGTTCCTAGTCCTTTATTTTCTCTTTGGATGAAATATTTTTTTCTTCCTTAATCAGAATTTCTACTGGTTGTTTGCTTGGATTCTAGTGATTTTTCTTTGTTATTTTAGTCCATGATATTTAAAAATGTAGAATCCCAGTGATGCCTGGGTGGCTCAGTCAGGTAAGTGTCCAACTCTTGATTTTGGCGCAGGTCATGACCTCATGGTTCATGGGATCCGGCCCCATGTTGAATTCCACGCAAAGCATGGAGCCTGCTTAAGATTGTCTTTCCCTCTGCCCCTCTCCCCACCTCGTTCACTCTCTCTGTAAAATATGAATGAATGAATGAACGAATGAATCCCAAACCAATATCTCCAGTAGATAAGTGAAGTAAAATATTTTCAATAATCTGTTAAGTTCTGTTTAACTGTTAAATTTGTCAATGGACACACTAACTCATTCAGTTTATATGTCATTAGGATTTATTTCCTTTTTCTTTTTATGACCACTATAGTCCTGCAGCTTTTGAAACTCTTCTCAGCATATAATCAACCTATCATGAATCTAATAAAATTTCCAAACTTAATACACATACCTTATTTTAACTGGTTCATTAATGATATTTAACATAGGCCCTCACCTATAAATCCTCAGGAGAACTCTCAAATTGATACTGAGCTATTGGATGCTATTCTTTCAAGGCAGTGGTCAAGTGTGTTTTGTTTAAGCTTTAGGTTGCACTTAATGTTATCTATTCCTAGTTTTTTACTAAGAATATAAGACAGAATTAAGACTTTGATCATAGTATGCTTTTTAACAGTGAGTGCCAGGCATATAATAATTTAACTATATTCTAATTTATTCTCCTTTATTAACTTAAAACATCTATAAATAAGTCATTTGTTTTCCCCAAAATGGTGTTTATTCATCTCTAAAATTTCAAAAATTTTCATATGATAAATTTTCTTAGGTATTAAGTTTACTTTTAGTTAATTGTCCCATAATGTCAAGACCATGTACTCTTTCCGTTATTTAGGGACTCTGGCTTTACAGACATGGTAATGATGTGTTGTTGTTGTTGCTGTTTTTTTTTTTTTTTTGAGAGAGAGAGAGAGCAAGAATGCAAGCAGGGAAGGGGCAGAGGAAGAAGGACAGAGAATCCTAAGCGAGCTCCACACCCAGTGCAGAGCCTGACATGGGGCTCTATCTCACCACCGTGAGATCATGACCTGAGCCAATATCAAGAGTCAGCAGCTTAATTGACTGAGCCACCCAGACGCCCCAACATGCACTTTAATTATAGGCATATCATTATCCTTTGCTGATTTGAACACAAGAGTTTTGTTTTTTCTTTTAGCTTTAGATTTTTCCACTCCATTCGTTATAGTTCCATCTAATTTTGCTGAGTGTTTTTTTTCTTTTACCTTTTTCTACAAGACAGAAATCGCATTAAAAGCTTTTGACTTACCACTGTCATCTGTAGGAGAAATACTCTGTATCCCTTGGACAGTCCAGTGCCTGTTTTGATTTGGCTTTATCTTCAGTTTTTTCTCTGTAACTACCATAATAAGAATTCAGAGTTGGGGTTCTTCACAGGTTTTTTTTCTTTGGTAAGCATAAGAGTACAGAAATGTATAACTATCCATCTAATTACTTTTTTTTTTTTTAGTTTTTTTTTTCAACATTTATTTATTTTTGGGACAGAGAGAGACAGAGCATGAACGGGGGAGGGGCAGAGAGAGAGGGAGACACAGAATCGGAAACAGGCTCCAGGCTCTGAGCCATCAGCCCAGAGCCTGACGCGGGGCTCGAACTCACGGACCGCGAGATCGTGACCTGGCTGAAGTCGGACGTTCAACCGACTGCGCCACCCAGGCGCCCCTCCATCTAATTACTTAATGGAGTTCACTCTTAATTTTATTTGAGCTAATAAATATTAAGGGCTTTTGATAATTACCAGTTAAACTTGAGTATTAAATTCCTCCTTAGGATTTTTAAGTGGCTAGACATATTTGAACCTGCGTAGATTGATAGAGACTTAAGAAATGTCCGCAATTTTTCAAAAATCATGCTTATTTCCAAATACTTTAGGTTTATTGGTTTTTCTTCACATTAAATTCATTGTGTTTTTTTGATTATAGGTATTTGGAATGGAACTCGTTGGCTGCTTATTTTCTAGAAACTGGAATGTAAGAGAGATGGCTCTCAGGCGTCTTTCCCATGATGTTAGTGGGGCTCTGCTATTGGCAAATGGGGAGAGCACTGGAAATTCTGGGAGCAATGGTAGAAGCAGCCCGAGTGCTGGAGCCACCAGTGGGTCTTCCCAGACCAGTATCTCAGGAGACGTGGTAGAGGCATGCTGCAACGTTTTATCAATGGTCTGTGCTGACCCTGTCTACAAAGTGTACGTTGCTGCTTTAGTAAGTAGCTTTATTATATAACCAAAGCATTATGGTTGTGGTGTTTTTTTTTTTAAGCTTGTAGGTATCATCCTTAAAATCCAGTAAAACTACTTTACCTGATTTAATTTTGGAAAATTCAAGTTTTTATTCCATAATCCCAGGAATTACAATTTTCCATTTAATCTCTTCATTTGGATTTTACTTGTTTTAATCTATTCAAGTTTTATTATATACTGTTGCCTTTTCTCCCCTAAGACAACAGTGTCTTGCTCTTCATATCTTTACATTTTCCTTACACCTTACATATGATCAGATTAAAAATGTTCTTAATGGATAGCAAGTGATCAAAGCTACTTATTTTGCCATTAGTTACACATTAAGGAGAACTGATTGTTAATATTGTTGTATGTAAATTCAGGATTCTTTTCACAGAGGAAGGTTCTAGGACACAGATGATTCAGTTTTTCTAATTTAACCTATTGGAAGTTGTGTTTCATAAATGAGATGGAATAAAGAGCTTGTTTCATTTGTAATTTTGGAGGCTATTTGACTTTTTTCATTCTGAGTATACATAACTTCAGAACAGTTTCTCAACCTCAGCACTATTGACACTGAGCCAGATAATTATTTGTTGGGGGCAAGGGTGCTGTCTTGTGCACTGTAGGAGGTGTAGGAGCAACCCTGACCTCTCTCTACTGGATACCCATAACACACTTCTCTTACCCCTCCTCCCCATCATGACAACCCAGAATGTCTCCAGGCATTGCTGAGTGTCCCCGGAGGGATGCAGTTGCCCCAATTCACAACCACTGCTTCAGAATAATTCTTACCTAGCCAGTTTCAAAACTCATTAATCCCTCTGCTTTCACTTTTTTTTAATCATCCTATAACACCTATGCCTAATAAATCTTCTTTTTGAGAGGTAGTATAGCCTGATGGTTATGAACATGAATTTGAAGTCAGAACTGAGTGACCTCATAATTTATCATCCTAACTAGGATACTTAAATAATCTGCTAGTTCAACTGGGACTAGCATAGGTAATCTGGACATAAGGTTAAGATTATAGAGACTTTGATTCAAATTCTGGTTCTTCCACTGGCTAGCATTGTGATTTTAGGACTCTTTAATTTCAGGTTTCTCACCTATAAGGAAAATACTACCTCTTAAGTTTGAAATGAGATTATGTAAAACCTCTAATCATAACGTCTGGAACACTGAACATTGACTATACAGTAGCCATTGGTATTCCTTAAAGACCACTTTGATTACTCCCCAGCTTAGAAACCTTTAGGTGTTTCTGTTGCTTTAGCAGCATTTCCAAAAGTATATTCCATGGAAGTTTGGCAGGATTATGAAAACTTCCCTTGAAGACAGAGTTCTTTGTTCAGTTAAAATTGATAAGCAATGAATTACACAAATTAAATGAGTTGTTCACTGAAGTCTTCTAGGAACCTTCAGTAAGCTAATGTACATTGGAAATCTATGAGATCAAGGAGTAGGATGCATTATTTCCCAAATATTTCTTACCTTGGTCTATTTTTTCAAGTAGAATATTCAGGGACCAGCATAACAATGTTCTTGGCCCAACTTTTAACCTCCTTCTTCTTACTGTTATCTAACACAAACCTTCAGACATACTTGACTATTCAATAGACTGCCTGTCTGGTTGTTGCTTAAGTTCAGATGGTTTCCCATCTAGTTAGCTGTAGAGGGAAGGGACTCAGAATCATACTATATTCTGATTCCTCTATAATTACTTAGTGCACCAAGCATAAGGCAGGCAGAAGTGGTTCCTTCCCTTAAAGCTCTCCCTCCCCTCTGTCCTCTTTTTTCTTCCTCTCCCTCGCCATACCTAATTCTTTGCTGAACCTTTGGAGAGTTAATTTGTAGGCATCATGACATGGTATTTCACCTCATATACTTTAGCATATATCTCTTGAGAACAAATACATTCTTCTGTTCCAGCAATGTTCTTTACAGCTAAGCTGCAGACTTTCTTCAGTTTTCACCAGTTTTTCCATAATGTCTTTTTTTCTGTTTTAGGATCCAGTCCAGAAACTCACATAGCATTTAGTTATCATGCTCCCTTAATCTCTTCCCATCTGTGACAGCTCCTCAGTCTTTCCTTGTCTCGCATAGATCTTGACACTTTGAAAGTGTGCTGACCACTTATTTTGAACAATGTCCCTCATTTTGGGTTTATGATATTTCCTCATGATTAGGTTCAGTTTATGCATTTTTTACAAGAATATCAGAGATTTATGTGCATTCTTAGTGCACTGTATCAAGGGGTACATGATGTGCCAAGTACTGGTGATGCTGTCCTTCATCACTTGGTAAAGGTGATGTTTATGGGGTTCCTTGCTATAAAATGACAATAAATGTTTTGAGGCAGATACTTTGAGACTATGCAAAGACCCTGTTTCTCTTCAGAATTTCGCTCACTGGTTTAGCATTTTTCAGTGGATCTTGTCTATAGCAGTTATTATTGTGGTATTCTAATGGTGACTTCCTATTTCTCTCATTCCTTCTACATTAATAGGAATTCTTCTATAAAGAGGAGCTGTCTCTTCTGCCTCATTGTGTATTTATTCAGTTTTTAAATTTTATCAATATAGGCTGATGAGTATTTTAGTCTGTGGGTTATAATGCAATCCTGTCATCATTTAAATTGTTGCTCATATTATTCCAGTTTTGGGCACTGGAAACTCTTTTCATTTTGAAATACATACTTTAAAAATTATAGAAATAGTTCAGAGCATTTCTTTCTACCCCATATATTTATTTATTCAGTTTTTTATTTGTATCAATATGGATTCATGGATTATTTTATTTATGGGTTATAAATCTATTCCTGTCATTATGTATTGTTTATTAAATTGTCTCAGATTATACCAGAGTCTCTGATGCTTTTCAAATGCAGTTAAACTGACCTTCAGGTTTCCCCTCCCCCCCCCCCCCCCCCCCCAGAAAACATTGAGAGCCATGCTGGTATATACTCCTTGCCATAGTTTGGCAGAAAGAATCAAACTGCAGAGACTTCTCCGGCCAGTTGTAGACACCATCCTAGTCAAGTGTGCAGATGCCAATAGGTAAGGCCCTATTGATGAACTGCTTCAAACCCTCTTATATTAAAAGCCTAGCAACAAGCCTCATACCTGGTGAGTATTTGATACATATTTATTAAATGAGGCTTTGAATATTGTTTTCTAAAATGAGATTTGAAATTAAAATGTAACACTGAAAGATTTTCAGCACTAGGGAGAAGGGCTAATGGCAAGTAAAAACCAGGCTAACAAACTGCATGGATAACCACATTATTGTGTTGTGATTTTCTTTTATTATAAAGCAATGTCCTTAATCTCAAGGCCAGTTGGTAAGAATAGTAGCTGATACAAATATAATCTCACTTTAGAGAATGAGTTACACAGGATATAACCTATAAAATCATTATACCTGGTTGAAAAAACCCAACCATTCCATATTTGCTGTGTAATGGAATTTTACTCTGACAGTTTATGTTTAAAACAACAATAACAAATTGCATATATCGTTGCAATATCCATAAAAACTGACAAGGAGCAAGAGTAATGCTAACTGGGAGAGTAGAGATAGTAAGGTAGAGAAGTGAGGCATGATCATAGTAAAATAAGCTCAGGCTGTGCCTTTATGAGACCACTGGTTCACTTTTATTTTCCCGTTCTGTGGAGTGGGAGGAAAAGATGACTTTTCACTTAGTGAGCATAGCTGGGAAGAGTTGTTTGGTGGTTCTCACCTCTTCACATCCAGCCGGTCTCAGGTGGTAAGGAAGCATGGACTCACCCTTGTGCCTCTGCCATTACACCCATTTGGAGCTCTTTCAGCCCAGCCTTTGTCTTCCTCCTTCCATCGCATGCTGTCATTTGTAACTGGTCTCAAAAATTAGGTGCTTAGATTTGATTTGCTTCACATTTCATTACGTCTTTTCCTCCATTGTTTTCTCTACCCAAGCCTATGGATTGAAAGTATTAGAGATTTTCTTATTAAGGAGAGTCCTATAATATCTCAAGAACATTAACAGGCAAATTAACAAATCATTAGCAAAATGCACAGAAAAATCACATGGTTTTTCAGTATGAGAATCATTATTTTTCTGAAAACTTCATTGCTTTTGTGGCAGTTGTGTGCTTTCCAGAATTCTAAAGTTAGATTGTTTACCTGGTTGCTTAGATGATGGACATTATAAAAAATACAGTAGAGGTTTTAAGATACTTGGAACTCACTCTGGCTATATAAGAGAACATGAAGGTTTTGGAGGGGAAGGTTTTGTTTTTAATTCAAGAGATTCTTAGTGAAAATTCAGAAATCAAAGTGAGTCTTCTGTCTTTTTTAATGAAGTAATCAAAATATGCCTTTTATCTGGTTTGCTATTTAAATCAACATTTGCTAAGAGCCACTAGTAAAGATTCTGTGCTTAACATAGATGAGGTAAAGCTTATGAAATTAGACCTTAAATAATGAATATTATCTGTAGCAACACTGTAAATTGATTTTAGTGGTGGAAAAGCAAACACTTGTGAAACTATTTTTTGCCACCTTTTCATATGGCATTACATTACTGTTGTCCTTTTGTCCTTTTAATGTGTATTTTATCCAGGATAAGATCCAAGTCTGATGTTGCTTCTTTCATTTTTAGTCGCACAAGTCAGCTGTCTATATCAACCCTGTTGGAATTGTGCAAAGGCCAAGCAGGAGAGTTGGCAGTTGGCAGAGAAATACTTAAAGCTGGTAAAATCTTTTTACTTAAAATAAATGTAGCAGGTCTTATCATAATCCCATAATCTCTGATAGGGCAGCTGTATACAGGATTTTGAAGTAATTGTGTAAATTGATTCAGTCAGCTAACATTAGAAATAGGAATTAATCTAAACAATACTTAAAATGAATATAATTAGAGTATTTTTCTTGGTCTTTATGCTATTTTGATCATGTTTTAGATTTTAGTATCACTATTTTTCAGTTATTTGTTATTTCCTTTTTGTAGGATCCATTGGTATTGGTGGTGTTGATTATGTCTTAAGTTGTATTCTTGGAAACCAAACTGAATCAAACAACTGGCAAGAACTTCTGGGCCGCCTTTGTCTTATGGACAGACTGCTGTTGGAATTTCCTGCTGAATTTTACCCTCATATCGCCAGTACTGATGTTTCACAAGCTGAGCCTGTTGAAGTCAGGTAATTTTTCTTCTGCAAATATATTACTTTGTTCTTCCCTCCTACCCCATCCCTACCTTACCCCGCCCCCCCCTCCCCAAAGAAGGACACATTTTAGAAAGACTTAGAAACTACAGAACATATACAGGTTACTACTAATACCTTAATATTTGATTGACATAAAAACCTCAAGCCTGGGCTATTTAATTGAAAATATATAGATCCTTTGTACTGAAAGGACTGTTTTTAAATGTATAAGCTTCTTTTTATTTGTGTATATTTTGCAGTAGTTTTAACTTGTAATTGAATGTGTTTTTTTCTTTCAGGTATAAAAAGCTGCTGTCCCTTTTAACCTTTGCTTTGCAGTCCATTGATAATTCCCACTCAATGGTTGGCAAACTCTCCCGAAGGATCTATTTGAGTTCTGCAAGAATGGTTACTGCAGTACCCCATGTATTTTCAAAACTGTTAGAAATGCTGAATGTTTCCAGTTCCACTCATTTTACCAGGATGCGTCGTCGTCTGATGGCTATTGCAGATGAGGTAGAAATCGCTGAGGCCATCCAGCTGGGCGTAGAAGACAATTTGGATGGTCAACATGACAGCTTTTTGCAGGCATCTGTCTCTAACAGCTTTCCTGAAACCACAGAGAACAGCTCCCTTGAGCACACAGACCATTTGGAGAAAACTGGAAAAGTACTGTGTGCCACAAAACTGAGTGCCAATTCAGAAGACATTACTGACAGACTGGGTAGCATTTCAGTAGGACTTCCTAGTTCAACAACAATGGAGCAACCAAAGCCAGTGGTTCAAACTAAAGGCAGACCCCACAGTCAGTGTTTGAACTCCTCTCCTTTATCTCATCATTCCCAGTTAGTGTTTCCATCCTTGTCAACTCCTTCTTCATCTGCCCCATCTGCACCAGTTGGTACCGGAACAGATATCGCTAAGCATAGACCTCAAGGATTCATTCCCTGCAAAATACCTTCTGCATCTCCTCAAACACAGCGTAAGTTTTCTCTACAGTTCCAGAGAAACTGTTCTGAAAACAGAGACTCAGATAAACTTTCCCCCATCTTTACTCAGTCAAGACCCCTGCCTTCTAGTACTATACACAGGCCAAAGCCGTCTCGACCTACCCCAGGTAACACAAGTAAACAAGGAGATGTCTCAAAGAATAGCATGACACTTGATCTGAAAAGTAGTACTTCCAGATGTGATGACAGCTTTGGTGGCAGCAGCAATAGCAGTAGTGCTGTTATACCCAGTGATGAGACAGTATTCACCCCAGTAGAAGAGAAATGCAGATTAGACGTCAATACAGAACTCAATTCCAGCATTGAGGACCTTCTTGAAGCATCTATGCCTTCAAGTGACACAACAGTAACTTTTAAGTCAGAAGTTGCTGTCCTGTCTCCTGAAAAGGATGAAAATGATGATAGCTACAAAGATGATGTGAATCATAATCAGAAGTGCAAAGAAAAGATGGAAGCTGAAGAAGAAGAAGCTTTAGCAATTGCCATGGCAATGTCAGCGTCTCAGGATGCCCTCCCCATAGTTCCTCAACTACAGGTTGAAAATGGAGAGGATATCATCATTATTCAACAGGATGTAAGTACAAGTCTTAAAGAGATTAGAGTTTCTTTGTACCGCTAAAATCTAATTCAGAAATGATGTTTTTTACACAAGTTAATCATTAGAAGCAGTTTTTCACATAGAATTACACATTGTATATAATATCGTGTCATTGCTTAAACACACACTCCTTGACTATTTCAAAGGCATTTCTGGTTTGTTCTATAATGGTGATCACTTCTGCATTTGACATTGGTCACCAACACTGCCCATTCAGAGGTCAACTTTATAGGTAGTTTGGGAAGCCAGACTGAACAAGAATAATATTTTGCGAGGCTAATTTCCTCTTTTAAAAGATCCTTCCTCTTTTAACTTAATAGTAAAAAGATTGCTTTCATTTAATATGTAGACACCCGAAACTCTACCAGGACATACCAAAGCAAAGCAACCTTACAGAGAAGACACTGAATGGCTAAAAGGTCAGCAGATAGGCCTTGGAGCATTTTCTTCTTGTTATCAGGCTCAAGATGTGGGAACTGGAACTTTAATGGCTGTTAAACAGGTAAATATCTGGTGAGCACATAAATGATTTAAATTATAAAAATGAAGCATGAGCAAATAAGAAAAGTAAAGGCTAGGTCCCTTTGTGTATATGCTTTTGTTCTTTGATTATCACAAACCTAAATTTCAAAGTAAATACTGCCAAAGCACCAAAAGCATCATGAATTCTATTGAAAAGCTGAAGCATGATTATTTTAACAAATTATAGAAACGATCCCTCAAAATACAGTCTTTAAGTGTGACTATGCATGACGATTCTAAGATGCAACATCAAGGTCGGCCTCATAGTGGCTGTTTTTGGTTTTTGGTTGTGCTTTTTATTAACAGAGGTATGGTTTCATACTCCTTGTAGCAATGTTACCAATGTACCATCATCTCGGGGGCTCTGGTAGTTTACTTTTTATGATGAGCATGCTTATCAAGATAAGAAAATAATGAAGTTTTCATTTTTAAATCACATTGGTTCTTCCATGAATTGGCTTTTCTCCTTCTGTCTTCGGTTTGGGAGGATTGGCTATGTCCCATCTTTTTGTCACTTTTCTGATATTTCACTGCTTAAGCCACACCCTGTCTAAAAGTGTTTGAATTGGCTTTTCATGAAGTATCTACATTGCATCCATGAGCATAAATGCCAATTCCTATTATATAAGCTAATATGAATTTGCCCATTTTAGATCAGATTGTCAGTGAAAACTGTAAATAGAAATTCATCAGAATTAAAAACCTTGTAAACGTGGTTACTGAAACAGGTGACATATGTCAGAAATACATCTTCTGAGCAAGAAGAAGTAGTGGAAGCATTAAGAGAAGAGATCAGAATGATGAGCCATTTGAATCATCCCAACATCATTAGGATGTTGGGAGCCACATGTGAGAAGAGCAATTATAATCTCTTCATCGAATGGATGGCAGGTATGTTCATGTTTTAAATTACCAATAGTAGTACATGAATTTAACTTTCTGGTTGACGTTAAATTTAGGAAAAACATTTTGATGAATACATATTTTTTTTTTAATTTTTTTTTTTAACGTTTATTTATTTTTGAGACAGAGAGAGACAGAGCATGAACGGGGGAGGGTCAGAGAGAGAGGGAGACACAGAATCTGAAACAGGCTCCAGGCTCTGAGCGGTCAGCACAGAGCCCAATGCGGGGCTCGAACTCACGGAGTGTGAGATCGTGACCTGAGCCGAAGTCGGCCGCTTAACCGACTGAGCCACCCAGGCACCCCGATGAATACATATTTTTATTAAATAGCTTGAATTTCTAAAAGCAAATCACCCTAATAATATAAACTATAAATAACTTGTCTTTAAATACAAATAAAATATTGTCTCTAACTTTTAAACTTTTTCAGTGGTTTATTTTTGAGAGAGACAGAGACAGAGTGTGAGCAGGGGAGGGGCAGAGAAAGAGGCAAACACAGAATCCGAAGCAGGCTCCAGGCTCTGAGCTGTCAGCACAGAGCCCAACACGGGGCTGAACCTTACAAACCTCGAGATCATGACCTGAGCGCAAGTCGGACACTTCACCAACTGAGCCACCCAGGCGCCCCTCTGTGTTTCTTTTTAAATGATTATACAGCATTCTTTTATAAGAATAATTTTTTTTAAACTGCTATGTATAAGACCCATATTTTTCCAGGTGGCTGTCATTAGTTGGACAGATTTGAGATGTTTTAACATGACAATATAAAAGTGAAATTAAGATATAACTTGGAGGGGCACCTGGGTGGCTCAGGTGGTTAGGCATCCGACTTGGGCTCAGGTCACGATCTCATGGTTCTTGAGTTCAAGCCCCACATTGGGCCCTGTGCTGACAGCTCAGAGCCTTGAGCCTGCTTCAGATGCTGTGTCTCCCTCTCTCTCTGCCCCTCCCCAGCTCGTGCTCTCTCTCAAAAATGAATAAGTGTTAAAAATAAATAAATAAATAAGAAACAAGATACAACTTGGAAAAATTAAGCAATGAAGCATAAAATTGAACCTTATCTATGTGAAAAATAATGACAAAATATACCATATATACAGTAAAACAAGTAACTTGGGATGTAATGAATGAATAAGTGGTTTAACTTTTTAGATTTTTTGTGTTTGAAGAGTTTTTATTTTTAATATGTTCTCTGATGTTGGTCATAGCTAGGTTGATGGTTGTTTTCAGGTTGACTATTACAAATACTTCTCAGTGAGGTTTACTGAGTTTGACTTGTACCAGGTCACAACTAGTAGATAATAGAACATGAAGCCTAATGCTCGATCTTCTGGCTCCTCCTATTCTCTTTACCTTCTGCTAAGTAACATGTTAGCACTGTTTATTTAAGTCTTATTATTAAGAAAGGTATTTTGGGGGTGCCTGGGTGGCTCATTTGGTTAAGTGTCTGACTTTGGACATGATGTCGCAGGTCATGATGTCCTCAGGTCATGATGTCGCAGTTTGTGAGTTGAGCCCCACCTCGGGCTCTGTGCTGACAGCTCAGAGCCTGGAGCTGCTTCAGATTCTCTATCTCCCTCTCTGCCCCTCCCCTGCTCGCGTACTCTCTCTCAAAAACAAACAAACATTAAAAAAGTTTTTTTAGGGGCGCCTGGGTGGCGCAGTCGGTTAAGCGTCCGACTTCAGCCAGGTCACGATCTCGCGCTCCGTGAGTTCGAGCCCCGCATCGGGCTCTGGGCTGATGGCTCAGAGCCTGGAGCCTGTTTCCGATTCTGTGTCTCCCTCTCTCTCTGCCCCTCCCCCGTTCATGCTCTGTCTCTCTCTGTCCCAAAAATAAATAAAACGTTGAAAAAAA